TTAGACATCATGTTATATATCACGTTAGGCATCATGTTAGACATCATGCTGGACATCATGTTAGGCATACTTGCTCATGAAGCCGTATTAATATTATTGAATTAAGAAGCTCTATTTTTTTATTACTTTGTTGAATTAATTAAAGATACGTTATTTAAAAAAAAAATATATCTCTTCAATGTCATGGTCATGGCACACTATGCTAGGTTAATTTTTTGGCAGAATTAAAATTGCCCCTGCGTTCCTTCGTTAATTGTTCTTGGTACTTCTTCACGCAGTTACGTGCTCTTACTTTTTATAGGCGATATAGTTTTTTCATTATTGGTTCATTCATCCACTGGTTTCTTTGTTCATTCAAATGACGGTGTGCTCAGTAATTGTGGTATGTTCAATAAGAGTGATTTGTTCAGTAAATGTAATTTTGATTTGTTCAGTAATTGTAGGTTTGGTTTGTTCAGTAATTGTAAGTTTGATTTGTTCAGTAATTATAGGTTTGGTTTGTTCAGTAATTGTAAGTTTGATTTGTTCAGTAATTGTAAGTTTGGTTTGTAAAGTAATTGTAAGTTTGATTTGTTCAGTAATTGTAAGTTTGATTTGTTAGGTAACTGTAAGTTTGATTTGTTCAGTAATTGTAAGTTTCATTTGTTAAGTAATTGTAAGTTTGATTTGTTCAGTAATTGTAGGTTTGGTTTGCTCAGTAATTCTAAGTTTGGTTTGTTCAGTAAATGTAAGTTTGGTTTGTTCAGTAATTGTAGGTTCGATTTGTTCAGTAATTGTAAGTTTGATTTTTTAAGTAATTGTAAGTTTAATTTGTTCAGTAATTGTAAGTTTGATTTGTTAAGCTATTGTAAGTTTGATTTGTTAAGTAATTGTAAGGTTGATTTGTTCAGTAAATCTAAGTTTGGTTTGTTCAGTAAATGTAAGTTTGGTTTGTTCAGTAATTGTAAGTTTGGTTTGTTCAGTAATTGTAAGTTCGATTTGTTCAGTAATTGTAAGTTTGATTTGTTCAGTAATTGTCAGTTTGATTTGTTCAGTAATTGTAAGTTTGATTTGTTCAGAAATCGTAAGTTTGGTTTGTTCAGCAATTGTAAGTTTTATTTCTTCAGTAATTTTAAGTTTGATTTGTTCGGTAATTGTAAGGTTTATTTGTTCAGTAATTGTAAGTTTCATTTTTTCAGTAACTGTAAGTTTCATTTGTTCCATAACTGTAAGTTTGATTTGTTCAGTAACTGTAAGTTTGATTTGTTCAGTAAATGTATGTTTTATTTGTTAAGTACTGGTAAGTTTGATTTGTTCAGTAATTGTAGGTTCGGTTTGTTCAGTAATTCTAAGTTTTGTTTGTTCAGTAAATGTAAGTTTGGTGTATTCAGGTAACTGCTGTGGTTTTTGTGCTCCCAAGATAAGATCTCCCCCCCCCTCCCCTTCCGAAGTCGCTTTGTTTATTGAATAGCGTGCTTGCTAATCGGAAGCTTAATTTGTTAATCCTAAAGGAGGGCTCACAATCAAAGGACAGGCTAGTCCCCCAAAGTCTTTTTTGTTTATACAATCCAAATCCAGGGTTTATTGAATAATCCAAGGATTGTTGTTTTAAATCCAAGGCCCATTCGTTTACCAAAAGTTTTTTTTGTTCATCACGTGGTTTGACCTTTCCATTTAAAAGGTTTACTGTTTCATGCAAGTGGTGATTTTGTTTTTTTTCATCCAATGGTTGGTTTGTTCATGCAAAGGTTGTTTTGTTCATCCAAAGGTTGGTTTGTTCCTGCCATCATTGGTTTGTTCCTGATTTCACCCCCCACCCCAAATCCTCAATGAAGTTTGTGTTTGTTAACTCAGTAGTTATAGACCCAGAGACCCCCAGACATCGCTCTATTGCCATGTTTTTGTTTTGTACAGGTAAATACCACGGGCCATCAAGTGGGTCAGGTGAGTCAGATGTAAGGGAAAAGGGGGGGGGGCGGGGTCCTCACGTTTGCGTAACTCATCACAATAGGGATCTCAAATTATGGCGAGCTCATCTATGTTTTAAATTTATTTTAAAGAAACGGAGCATTGGTAAACATTTAAAATTAAAGAATTGAGTTTGAAATATAATTTCGTGTGTCAGAGGTTTTAGAAATATTCTCTAGGCCGAAGGGCGCATTCCGAAAAGGCCGCTGGAACTGAATGATGATGATGAAATATTTATAATAATAATAAAGTTTATTTCAAAAACACGCTTCATCCCCAAAGGCTCGAAGCGCGGTACAAGGTCAACAAAACAACAAAAAACAAAAAAAAAACAAACAAACTATAATTTACCACATTTAAAACAAACGCAACACTACAAAAACTAATTACAAGCATACAATGGCAAAGTCTTTCTACCCATTACTACCCTTTTCAACCCTGAGCAACACAGCCAATATGAATTAACTGGAAAATAAGGTAGACAATCATCCCAGAAGGTGTTTGTTGTATCTTGTCTGTCAAACAGTCAATCAAATTAAAAGAAAGGGGGGCATCCAGCCGTGTACAGTCATTTCAGTTTGTAATGAAATACTGTCATTATGTGACAGGTGTTATCCTTGGGATTATATGAGATATGAGAAATAACACAACGGTACTATGTTTTTTTTCCAGTGCATTCCCTCATTCGAACATGTTTAACGTTGTAAACAAAAATTGTGGTTGAACTGAGTGATAGTAAAACAAGCACATAAAAACAATCATATTTTCATTGTGTTATTTTGAACCGAGACAAGCACATTAACATTGCTGCTTTTAACACTGGTGCAAACGCCATTGTCAATACTGAAGCGGGCTCGGCCTGTGTGGTAGACGATTTTTTTTTGGGGGGGGGGGAGACCCAACAGTGCGATGGCGATGGCTGGCCGGACGGGGTGCAGGTACCGGTCAACGTGACAAACGGGAGGCAAGGGTTCACATAAAAACAATCATATTTTCATTGTTTTATTTTGAACCGAGACAAGCACATTAACATTGCTGGTTTTAACACTGGTGCAAACGCCATTGTCAATACTGAAGCGGGCTCGGCCTGTGTGGTAGACGATTTTTTTTTGGGGGGGGGGGAGACCCAACAGTGCGATGGCGATGGCTGACCAGACTGGGTGCAGGTACCGGTCAACGTGACAACAGGGAGGCAAGGGTTGCCTTTGGCATTAATAGATTGATTGATTGATTTTGAGATTTATATCGCGCTGGTATCCAGGCCACTTTAACATGCTCACTGCGCTCTGGTTTTCCGAAATCTATGTAAACAAAAAAGTTTTAAAATGATTTTTTATCATTTACAATTTCCCCTCAAAGATTGAGGCGAACTGTTCCACAATTTTGGCGCTATTGCTTCAAAAGAGCGCACCCCGTAAGACTTTTTGTGTGTGTTCATCCACATTTAGGAACACTCAGTAAGTCCTGTGGTGAAGACCGCAGGCTCTTCAAAGATACATGTTTACAAATCAGTTCTTTGAGATATTCCGGTGCTGAGCCATCTCTGCAGCTGTCCGACAGGGACAGAATTTTGTAGTTAATGCGCTCACTCACTGGAACCCAATGGAGACGCAAGCCGACAAAGGGGTACATCGCTAACGGACGGCATGGGTATCTCGAATAAGTTAGAGTAATGCCTTTTTGTAGTCTGCTGTCAATTGAAGAATGACCGTGCTGTGATAGGGAAAGCCAAACTTGATCGGTGTTGATAAGAGGTTAGAGACATTGAATCGGCGTCCGGAGTAGTGGTTCTGGTTTGGGAGAGTGGAGTCTCTATCAACGTAGCAAGCCAATGAACCGTGGGATTCTGGTGGTGGGTAGTTTCTCGTATGATGAGGTCTGGATATAAGCTAGAGCAGGGGTTCCCAAAACATTTAAGTTTGGAGGACCGTTGAACAAGTTTCGAAATTTTACCAGGGACCGGTGCATGATTTATTTTTATACTTGATTCTATTTGACAATAAATATTTATGTTATGGGGACCAGCAGCGTTAGACATGAAGACCGGTGAAGGCCCTCGGACCGCCTTTTGGGGACAACTGCTCTTGAGGTTTGGGGACACTTGACAGTTGAGGAAGGGAGAGCCGAGTTGAGATGTAGCAGTTGAGGGAGAACGGTCGAGAGCTAAGCCTGAAAGGAGTGGAGTCGAAGACCAGACGTGAGACAGTAACGAGATATAGAGACAACCACGACAGTCAGAGCAGAGCCAAGGTCTTGAATGTCAACAGTGCAGCAGATCATTAGAGTGAAGTCTGACCATCAACGTGTTGTTTACCTGATTATTGCAGTACGAGAGACAGAGCGAACGAGGTCACCGTCCAGAAAAAAGTAGTTAGAGAACAGAGACGGTCATAAGGTTCTCCACAGCATCGCACAGCACAATATCAACACGGATTGAACATATCGTCCCGTCACTCTTTTGAACACAGCACAAGATCAACACGGATTGAACAGAGCTTTCCGTCACTCTTTTGAACACAGCCCAATATCAACACGGATTTAACAGAGCGTTCTGTCACTCTTTTGAACACAGCACAAAATGAGCACGAATTCGACATAATTAAACAACTCCCAAAAACAAATTTCTTCGTATATATCCTTTATCAAATGTAATTAGTGCTCTCCCCCCCCGCCCCCGGTACCATTCAAGGCACGTAACCGCATATTTTTAAAACGATCTAAATATTTCACCGACTATTTCAGAAAAAAGAAAAGAAAATATTACGCACCAAACGCAATTGCAATTATATTAAAAGGGAACTCAGTTAGCGCAGTTTTCGGGAATTTTCAACACTTCGATCATTCTAACACGTTCAACACTGGACACTATTTAAACGCTTAAATAATTGGCACCACTTAAATGTTCACTTATTTTTTAAATTAGCATTGGCTGGGTAGCCCGANCATATATACTGCAAGTGAGAGGTTGATCAAAACTGACCCAATTATCGCAGTACAAAATAGTAAATTTGTATTTCTATTGACCTTTGCACTCTGTAAACTCTTGTCCAGGGTGGAACAAGAGCTAAAATACGAGCAATGAGATCAACAAGCTGACTAGGTGGGTAACTCCTGTAGCGTCCAGTTTTCCACAGTTCATACAAACCTGTGGAAAGAAAAGTAATGATGAAATGTGGTATTTGTAATGTTTACAGAGGAAGTAGTACATGTTATGTGGCAACCATTTTTAAATATAGAAGTGCCTTGTACACGCACAAAATAAACACATTCAACTGACATAGATGTTTTAACTGACTATATTGTCACTAACTCTGAACGAACATGCATGATTTTTTTGTCTTCAAAAATGCATTTTTTTCTTTCAAATTTATTTAGATCTAGGGCTTTCCAATTTCCTGAAAAAATATTTTAAAAATTGCATGTGGAGAGTACATTTTAGGTCTCATGGTTTAACCAAATGTTTTAAGTTGTATTTAATGTTATCAGGTTTATAGTGTCTCATGTAAAATTTGGAAAACCTGACTACAAACAGGGTTTGAGCTTTAAAGCAACAATATGTTAATTTAATTGGACATAAATTAAAAATCATACATGTTTTAAAAGTTTTACCTGTGCCTCTAATAACCAGTGTTGGATAAATTTTGAGACCATCAGCTCGAAAAGCAGGATTTTCAAATAACGCCTGTTAAAAAAAAAAAAAAAAAAAAAAACGACCTTTCTGCTAAACATGGGGGTCATGTGTCGTTTTCGCACTCGATTACACTATTAGTAGCTAGACGTCAGGTCGATATAGTACTTGGTGAACAGGAGTTTTACAATAGTCCCAGATATTTCCAGCTGGATAGTTTCGATTACACTATTAGTAGCTAGATGTCGGGTCGATACGGTACTTGGTGAAAATAAATTTTACAATAGTCCCAGATATCTCCAGCTGGATAGTTTCGATTACACTATTAGTAGCTAGATGTCAGTTCGATACGGTACTCGGTGAAAAGAAGTTTTACAATAGTCCCAGATATCTCCAGCTGGATAGTTTCGATTACACTATTAGTAGCTAGATGTCAGGTCGGTACGGTACTCGGTGAAAAGAAGTTTTACAATAGTCCCAGATATCTCCAGCTGGATAGTTTCGATTACACTATTAGTAGCTAGATGTCGGGTCGATACGGTACTTGGTGAAAATAAATTTTATAATAGTCCCAGATATCTCCAGCTGGATAGTTTGGATTACACTATTAGTAGCTAGATGTCAGGTCAATACAGTACTTGGTGAAAAGAAGTTTTACAATAGTCCCAGATATCTCCAGCTGGATAGTTTCGATTACAGTAAAAATTGGTAACAAAATATCATATCTCCCCCCCCCCCTTTCCACCCCACCCCTACCAAACCAAGCCAAACCCAAAATTCGATGTCGTTGACGGCGAGCCGTGCTTAAAGACCAACTGTTGAATTAATTCTAAATATAGTCTCGTGACTCCAACCCTAACCCTAACCCTGAGGCGTAACTATGAGGTTACCCGACCCAGGGGAAAGTTAATCAAGAGTAGGCCCCCCAGCCCATTCATTTACTTTTATTCCAATTTAAATTAATCCCAAGTCCTTCGGTACTTATGCAATTACTCCATTCTGAGTCTCGTGTATTAAAGGTATTGTGTTGTCCTCAGCAGAAACACCAACTCTAATAGCGACATTATTTTAAAAAAAAAGAAAGTCTAACAGTAATAGGGCCCAGCAGTAAATGATGAGTGAGTCTACCAATGAAAAATATCTTAGCATCAGAAGCTCTTCAAAAAAAAAAAAAAAAAAAAAAAAAAAAAAAAAAAAAAAAAAAAGACAAAAAGAAAAAGGGCCCAGCAGTAAATGATGAGGGAGTATACCAAAAAAAAAAATCTTAGCAACAAAAACCCTTAAAAAAAAAAAAAAAAAAAAAAAAATATAAATCCGACAAAATATCTCATGATACGAACGACGATATTAAAATAGACATATTTATACTGAGCACGTTTATTGTGAACACATTTATATTAAACACATTTATATTCAACGCATTCTAAACATTTATATTTAAAACATTAATACTTTAACAAACTTATATTCAGCACTTTTATGTCTAGCAACTTTATATTTAACACATTTATATTTAACACAGGTATATTAAACACACATTTACATAAAATGTTCAACACATTTATATAAAAAAAACATTTATATTAAACACATTTATATGCAGCTCATTCATATATTAACACAACGCTGGTTGTTGGTAGTTGTCGTTCTCCTCGTACCAAAGTAAGCATATTTTATAATAAAAAGTTATATCGTCATGAGTGCGATACCATCCTAGACATCCATCCGTTTCGACTCAGTTAATTTACCCTACTGTGACTGAATGGTATGGCAGAATTTAGAAATGATAGAAAAACCCAAAAACAAACAAACGAACATACACACAAACGTATCCTTCTCAGTATCACAAGTAATCATTTCACAGGAAGAAGTAATTGTAAAACAGGAAGTGTCGAGATAATAAGCAAAGACATGAATCTCACTGAGATAAAAAAAATATATATATATATATATATATACAATTATTATCTTTAGAACTTTGCGGTTTCATTTCACTTACATATGAAGGGTTCAAGGGAAAAAAACATGGAATGTCAGGTTATGAGAAAAATGTATAATAAAGTGTGGAAATTACTCATGAAAGTATAAAATGTCAAAATATTTATTTATTGACTAGGCTGCTCTTTCAGTGGGCCTATATGTCATATTATTCTATTAAAAAGAATGTAGCCACACGGGAGATAACTTGCAAATTTCGAAAAACTGACATCACTGGTTTTTCCCTTGAACCCTTCATGTCGTTTTGGCACTAACTTCTGGTAATTTTTCTATTGTGCCATCGATTTAAATTATTGTAATAATTAAATTTAAAGGGAAAGTATCCAAAAAAAAACATGTTTAAAAAATGTTGGTATAATTAAAAAAAAAAAAAAACACTCTGACCCCACGGTTCCGTTTAATTTTCCCGGGCCCGGGTATTTTTCAGACACGTGATCCTGTACATTTCCGTGTATCCGATTCAACACCCGGATCAGCCCTACCACTAACCAGGCGACGCGATACTTGTACGCATCATAGCATTTATTAACTGAATCGGTTTCAGGAAATAATGTGGATGAATGAGTGGCAGCAGAGGTCCATATCAAATGAACATAATGTCAGGCGATGGCGGGGACGCTGCTTATAGAAACCCTGCATGTTGAAAGAGATCCTACGGGGTACCCTTTTTTCTAGTTTGAGGACATCGACCATTTTTCAATGAGAGACTTAGAGTAAGCGAAGGAGAACCTCGCGATGGACATGTCATGAATAAAATCCACTCTCCCACTGATTTCCTGATACCCTGCCCTCGGTATTTTGACACGTCTCACCAGGGCCAACGATTGCATTGCATCGTTACGTGCTCGCGAGATGCACCGATCACGAGATGCGGCACTATCGAGATGGGCCGCACGCGAGGTGTGCCGCTCATGACATGTGCCGCTCGCGAGGTGTGCTATTATAAATATAATTTCAAACTTGGCTATAGCATACGGGTGGATGAATCTAGGCCAAAATTAGTACAGAAACACTTGATGATAAATATTGAAATACTGGTGGATTCTGAACTCATAGCAACAAACCTCTCCTTCGGGGCTGGGGGCCCTTAATATCATTTTCCCTTGTATAAATGATTTCCTTCCGTGTTCGTGAGACGATGGAGTAGCCATTGACACATGATTAAATGACTTCCTTCCGTCTTCGCGAGACGATGGAGTAGCCATTGACACATGATTAAATGACTTCCTTCCGTGTTCGTGAGACGATGGAGTAGCCATTGACACATGATTAAATGACTTCCTTCCGTCTTCGCGAGACGATGGAGTAGCCATTGACACATGATTAAATGACTTCCTTCCGTGTTCGTGAGACGATGGAGTAGCCATTGACACATGATTAAATGACTTCCTTCCGTCTTCGCGAGACGATGGAGTAGCCATTGACACATGATTAAATGACTTCCTTCCGTGTTCGTGAGACGATGGAGTAGCCATTGACACATGATTAAATGACTTCCTTCCGTCTTCGCGAGACGATGGAGTAGCCATTGACACATGATTAAATGACTTCCTTCCGTGTTCGTGAGACGATGGAGTAGCCATTGACACATGATTAAATGACTTCCTTCCGTCTTCGCGAGACGATGGAGTAGCCATTGACACATGATTAAATGACTTCCTTCCGTGTTCGTGAGACGATGGAGTAGCCATTGACACATGATTAAATGACTTCCTTCCGTCTTCGCGAGACGATGGAGTAGCCATTGACACATGATTAAATGACTTCCTTCCGTGTTCGTGAGACGATGGAGTAGCCATTGACACATGATTAAATGACTTCCTTCCGTCTTCGCGAGACGATGGAGTAGCCATTGACACATGATTAAATGACTTCCTTCCGTGTTCGTGAGACGATGGAGTAGCCATTGACACATGATTAAATGACTTCCTTCCGTCTTCGCGAGACGATGGAGTAGCCATTGACACATGATTAAATGACTTCCTTCCGTCTTCGCGAGACGATGGAGTAGCCATTGACACATGATTAAATGACTTCCTTCCGTGTTCGTGAGACGATGGAGTAGCCATTGACACATGATTAAATGACTTCCTTCCGTCTTCGCGAGACGATGGAGTAGCCATTGACACATGATTCAATGGCGTACGACGACGATCCTGAAATGGCATTCATTGCTGCACTTCTTGCAAGAGAACCTTGGCTTCTGTTGGATTTTTTGGGGGGTATCCGTAATGCTCTTTTTTTTTGCAATAGTTTCTTTTCGCGCAGCATCCGCATTTTTGATTCCTTCATGCACTGCTATTTGCCAGCTGGCACGGTGTTCATGCGAAGAGCTACAGTTGGTTGATTTCAAAGTTGACATTTTAATAAGGTTTTCAGGTAGTTTCTAGGTTATTTTAGAAGGTTCGATTCCCTTCTGTAACCGTTTTAGGATTACATGAATTTCATTATTGTTTCTTTAACTTTAAATGAGTTTCCTCAAGGGAACGGGATCCCATCGGGGAACGAGTTCCCATCGCGGAAAGGGTCCCATCACGGAACGATATCTCAACGTGGAACAAGATCCCATCCGGGAACAGGATGTCATCGGGGAACGGGAACCCATCGGGGAACGAAAGTTTTCCGAAAGTTTTTATAGCTAGATTTTTTTTTTTTAGAAGAACATTTACTCGTTTACTTTAATTTCGATGTTTGCTGAAAGGCTGTCGGAGATTTTCTTGTTTCGATGGGAATCGCAGGCAACGCCGGGTATATGGGCTGGTCACTGATAAAAAAACACCAACGCTTGAACTCACTCTTCATTTCATTCCGCTGATGAGCAGCCGAGCTGATGCACTCAATAATACGTGAAACGCGGTGCCCTTGGAACCAAGACAAGACGCACTGTCCTGGACTGCCACGGGTCATGACATTCAAAGATAAGACTTCTAAACCTGTAGATATTCTGGATTCTGTTTTTATTTCTCTTGCCCATAATAAAAAAAAAAATCTGACATTTTGTAAAGCAATGAAACAATAACTGGTTTGACATCTCGTCTTTTTAATAAACAAAC